GTTATATCAGCTCTAAGCTGTATAATGAAAAAATAAAAAGTTTTTGAACTAACTAGATACAATGGTATCCTAAATTTGTGTGGGCTATCATTCTTCAAGAGACCTAAACAACCAAAAATTTCATTATAATTTATAAATATTTGGGTGCATACCATTCACTGGGAGCTACTCAAACTTTCCGCACCTTTATTTGTAAAATATATTAAACAAAATATGCACAATCAAATGATTTGCATGGTTGGCAAACGTCGCAATTGCATGCCTCGGAACTTTCAAATTTCTGACGAGACGCAAGAAACTCATCAGTATCAGCTTTTAGATTGAAGCCAGAACCTTATGACCTCCTTTCTACCCCAGCTTTAGAGTGTAGCAAAAATAACAAATCAAAATGAATAGTCTCCTTTTAGACCACGCTAGGCAATTGAATATAGAATCTGGCATCAGCGCGAATACAGTCCCCTTTTACATATTCTGTAAGTCTGCCCCATCTCGAGCGAAGGACCCGCTGTTTCATTTGAGGAGAAATTATTAAAAATGATGAATTCTAAACAATTTTTGTTCTTTTTTACACCAATAAGTTTATAATCGTCAGTAATGGTAAAGCATGATACACATATGTTTTGGAAAACTATTTGAATGTTTGGATGTAGAAAACAAAATTATTTTAATTGGATGCCCCTAGGATTGATAATTAGTAAGATAATGAGGAACTTATCTTTAGACCACGTTCAGCAGAATGCTAGCCAATGGCGTAATCCGTATTGAACCAAAGAAAGGATTATTATTGTCTAAAATAAAGTTGGTTCAGCTAAAGTTTGAGCAAACTTGAAGGAAACTGAAAAGTTTGGACGAAGAAGAGACACTGCTGATTTTCGCTGAATTATTTAGTAACAGTGTGCACTATCTCTACCTTCTATCACCTCGTTTCTCTTGAATGAACTGAGATTGAGGGATATTTGATCATAGTTTCAAAATTTTAATATATGTTTTTCTTCCATATTTTATTATGCACAGCTGCCTCTAGTTATTTTATAATTATATTATATTATATTTTAAATATTTTTCTTTTATTTTTACTTTTCACCATATTACAAGTCTC